GGGGGGGGGGGGGGGGGGCCCGCGAAAAGCCCATCGACACAGGCACCAGTGCTGCCAAAGTCCGGGTCTACAGTTAAACCTAAAGTAAACTAAAGGCTAAAGTAACTCTAAGTAGTAGTGTAACACTCTATTCCTACTTGCTGCGTGGTTCTAGGGTAGGAGGGGACTCTCCTCCCCGCTCCTCTCGCTTCCCTTCAGGAGTCCCACCCCGCCCCCCTTTTCGATCGCCGTCCTTTCTCTCCTGGGAGCACGCCCCTAGATCCGCTTATGCTGAAGGCAAATCATTCCCTCAACGATTTATTGATTCGTTTCTACAGTGAATTACTACTGAAAAATGTCAGGAAATTGAAGCTCCCATCAGTCTGCACGTTAGCAGTCCTTGAAGGAAGAAGTTACCAACGATAATAGCTGCTGTTTTGCGTATGCTATCACTCCAACTATTTCCAGATGCTTGCGTCTCTTGTTTATAGCAAAATTCGGCAAGGATTTTGACTTAGACTCTGATATACACAAAATCATGAAGGAGACATGAAATATTGGTGCAGTATTTACATTATGTTTGAAAATTTGAAATTCGCCCACCATTATTGGTATAATGTGTTTGGGGGTGAAAATTTTCCAAATGTTTTATCCGTATCTAACTCGACTTTGGCAGATTCTACAAAATTTGTTGAGTTTTTACGAAATAATACTTTGCACCCAGTTGCACACTCTCAAATAGCCGCACTATCTACGGCGACAGGCAAAGGAGTAAATATTTTTGAAGCTAACACGTATACATGTCACTACGCATACTGCTCTATGAACATCTTCAATTCGAGCGTCCCTAGATTTGGGACATCAAAAAAAAAATGGAACAAACAAAAAATGGCTCAAAAAAAATACATCTGTTTCACAGTTCTAGTACATATTGCCCCCTTCTTCAACTAACAGCAAATCTCCTCCCCTTGAGAATCCCAGAGGTCCAGGATGTGAAGAAGATGGAAGAACCATGCTTAGCTACGCGTGACATGATCTTCTAAAGGATGAAGGTTAGATTGTTTTGCCCAGGGCATTGGCGGAAAGGAGCTCAAGTAAGATGTGATAATAACCTCGACGTATAGATGAGGTCACAATGGGATGAAAAAGGCCGACAAGAAGGACCTTTACGAAATCGGAGGGAGAAGCTGTGATGGCCCGTGATGTGCTTGATGCAGGGTCAGGTAAATTATACAAACGATGTTGATGCAGGAAATTTGAATTTGGCATGGGCGGCTAATTTTGTACGTTTATCCCTACAGAAAGAATGGGGTCTCGCATTCCCAATTACACAGACAAAGTGCTAGTTAACGCGGAGTAGCGTAATTTCTAATCAGCAAAATCATCAATAAATAATACATTCCAAAATAAGCGAAATTCATATAAATGTTCAAGAAGTAGCTCATCCATCCTTTTTTGCTAGACGACAAATCCCTAAATTTTACGTACCGAAATAAGCGAACTTCAACAAATATCTTTATCGGTCAGTTATGCCGAAGGAACTAATGGTGGTACCCTACCTCCACTGCTGAACAGGCATTTTTAATATTCAAATTTACATAACTGCAAAGTGCAAATATCCTTGAGTAAATATTGCCGTACACATTTGCATCCAGTCTGTTAGCTTTTCATTTCCCTTTCCGAAACTACAAATAGGGCTTCAGAATGGCTTTTGCTTATTCATTTGGCAGTGGGACGGTGAGAAGGCTGGTTACTGTCAGGATGTGCAGAGCTGGTGAAAAGCCTTTGCCAGATCCTTCTACCGTCGGAGTGATGGAGGTGCAATGCACATTTCTCGTATTACGTCTTTCGAAATAGTATAAAAAGGCTAAGAGTTTCTCTCCACGTAGATCGGTATAATCATGTCGTGGGATCTAGAAGTTAATAGAAGCTGAGCGCCTAAAAGCCGAGCGCCTAAATGTCCAAGACCTACTTTAAAACTCCTATCTGCTTTAATAAGTAAGATTTTCACGGTACTGTTAAAACTGCCTTGGTTACGAACCGCTTGTAATTCTAAAGTCAGTGGTTGTTGTTTTCTCCGAACTTCTTCCCTTAATGTCGTCGGTACCGTTTTGGTTTTTGTATGTGTGCTCTGCCTTTCCTGAATCTTTTACTCAAGCCCACTTATTATCATGCGGCACAGTATCAGCAATTTCATAAGGGGTATCCGAGTAGGGGATTTCACTTTTTTTGTGATTAGAATGTTATCATGCTTTACACTTATTTGGCGGAGCAAAAGGGATGGCTCTTCCAGCCAGTTTTTTGATTCGTAGTTTTTCCTATCTTTGCGCTTGTCTTGCGACAACTTTTCTAATCTGTACTGTCTTCCATTTTAACCAAGATTTTTCAAGTTTTCGTGGAAATTCTGTGTTTTACATTCTAAAGACTCTAGCATGCTACAAAATCGTACTGTTCAGTCTCATATTAAAAATTCTGATGCATTGTTACCCATATTAAGGCCGTTTTAAGGTCTTTGCCTGGCGTAATGCTGGCGTAATGATTTGCCCACATTATGGCCGTAGAATTTAAGAACAAATATTACAGGCCCTGAAGGCTGCGTATGACCGGAAAGTAGTACCATCCGAGAAGCGCTACCTGTACAGTGCGTTTGATACACCTCCTCTACGTGATCAAGAATTCTTTGTTCGTTGATCCTTTCTTTTAAAAACTTGTGATTATTCGCATAATATCAAGAATACAGAAAGTGCCAATAATTCTCGAACAGTCGGTGTGGAGATCCCATGTTAACGAAGTTCATGCTATATACCTATGCGTCTGGCACAGGTATACCAGAACCTTTGATCCTGAGCAGCATATGTCCATTTGTCCACATAATAACAAATTACCGGTTATTCTTTCATGCTTTAGATTCGGAGTTTTATCCTAATTTCTAATGGATGTGTGGGCCTTAAGGCCCTCGCATGTAATTCTTCGATAAAGTACAACTAATTCACCTATACTTCATCGAACAATTACATATAAGCACCTTAAGACCCATACGAGCATTAGAAGCTACATTTATTTTTACAAAGCGATCTGATAAACTAGGCCTGCAGAATTTTCTGGGGCTTTGGTGCAACACTACCAGTGATAGGATTTAACAGTCTCCTTGGCCCATTTCGGAGAGAGGGCTCTAGTTACCCTAATGAGTTTGTGAACAGGTTAAAAATTGATATGAAGAAAGTAAAGCAAAAATCACTTGCAAAACAAGTGACGTCTTCAGAGCAGGAGTGAAAAAGCGTAGATTACTGTGTTTCTGGTAAATTTCTGTAAATAATTGTACAGATGAAGTAATATTTGAGGTAGACTTCTGCCCACAGTTCTATGTCCCATCATTTTTGTAATCATAGCGTAAACTTTAATCTAAATCTCACACTGAAAAAAAAATTCTTGAAATGTCTACCGTGCTTTGACAACCATCGGTCTGATGCTGCCTGCTTGGGTGCAAAGCTCCGGTAATTTGTTCTCCAGGGACCTTTTAGTGAAATGAGTGACAGGCAGTTATTACTCGGGTAAAAGATAACTGTTATGACAAATACACAGATCTTCTGGTTTAGAATCCGCGCCGCAAGCACTTTTGCGACGTGTTATTTAAAAAGTCAAGCCCAAAAAGGTCTTTGATTTCCGAACTTTTCCGAGCTCATTTCTTTCTTCGAAATGCATTGACAATCTAAAATAAAAAGGCAATCTTAAATAAAAAAGCAACACGTCTA